GGGGGTTATGTTGGGATTATATAGGAGTAATATTGGGGTTATGTTGGGGTTATACTGGGGTTATGTTCCGTTTTAAGTAATCCTCGATGGCTTGGGATGCTATGTAAGCCCCAATATAACATACAAATCTATGTGATCCCAATATAACCCCAAAACCCTAAACCCTAAACCCTAAGCCCCATATAGCAGTTAAACCCCCAATACCCTGAACCCTAGACCTTACAGAAGTCATGGCTTCTGGCGCAACATCGAGCCATTGCTCTGCTGTTAACTCCTTCTCCCCCGGGAGCAGGAACCTCAGGTTCCAGTTTAGTGTGACTGCTTTTAGGGCTACCTTTGGAAAGGGGTCATAAAGAAATCTATAGGGATATATAGAGACATATAAGGATATACAGGGATATGTGGGAATATATAAGGATATATCAGGTTTTAGGAATTTGCTAAGGGGACGGTTCATCTGTCTGACAGGCACAGGGTTTGCTTTGGCTGCTAGCGCAAGTTTTCTTGAATCCGTTTAGGGTTTAGGGGTAATCTCAACTCCTAGCATCGCCCTGAATAACCCTGTAATACTCCCCTTTATAACCCCCTGTTTAGGGTCAGAATTTCCCACTTTGGAGCTGGATGCTAAGTGACGCACAGTGCCAAAGCATCGGACAATGCCAGGCCAGCTGCTTCCAACCTCCAAACCAATCTCGGGGTTTACAGTCAGGCTGTTAGGGGTTTAGGGGTTTAGGGTTTAGGGTTTAGGTATTAGGGTTTAGGGCCTAGGGATTAGGTCAGAAGTAGCCAGCGACAAGTGCTAGCGGCAAGTTTGAGATGTCCAGATGATGCTTACTGGCGATTAGGTAGGGAATAACGGACTCTAATTCCAACCTAACCCCTACACAGTGTTCCCATAGTCTGTACAAATACCCTAATATCACCCTATAACCCCAATTTAACCCTAATATAACCCAATACCCCAATATCACCCTAACATTATCCTAATATAACCCAATACCCCCAACATAACCCCCCAGTAAGGATGGGAAGACCACCGAGGTCAGAGCCTCCTGCGTATGCGCCCAAATATCAAAGCACATCCTTGTGCTGACAGAGACCTCCCAGACATTGCAACAGATTGCACCGAGCTGCCTCGCAAAGACAATCGGAAAGCTAACACCAAGGCTGCAGCATCCGGCCAGCATTGGTGCCTGTTTCTTAGGGTATATTTATAAAAGACTATAGTATTTCTAGTCCATTGTAGTACATTGTAATATATCATAATATATTATAGTATATTATAGTAAATTATTGTATAGTGTATTCTAGTATATATTACAATACAATTGCCAAGATAGCACCCTCAGCAGAATGTCAAGCAATGTAGGATTGGAAGACCAAGACGAAGACTGGAACCTTGCAAAGCCGAGCTCGAGGTACAGGTGAAAAAGGTCTTCTCCTCAGGACAGCTACCCTGAAGTAGATAGAATATGGCTTTGGGTATATTATATAACCCATATTCTATCTACTTGAGGGGGACTATAGGTGATTTGAGTGTCAGCATGCAGGCAATAGCCCGAGGCAGGGGCGAAGTTGATTTCCACACTTTGCAGGGTTCCTCCCAAGGTCCCTCCAAGAGTCGCTCCCAGCCTCAGACTTTAGCTTTGTGGCCCTTAGATTCGTGATTCATCCACAGGCCATGGACGGATCCGCGCTTGGTCCACCCCCTCCAGGCAAGGGAGGCCTTCCGAAGCAGCACTTGAGGGCAGAGCAGGACTCATCTGGGCCGCTGGCATTCCAGGAGGTGCAGGAGCCGACATTCCTGGAGGAGAGCCACAAAACCACCGTCTCACGCGGATATATGAAAACTCCTGGCAGCGGTGGCATTCCAGGAGGCCTCGGGACAAATGCGCAGCCGACCAAACCGGGTTGGCCGGTCAGACCGCTGTTGCAACAAGGGCCCTTGCGCTGGTGGGCGCGGAGGCCCTGGTGGCCCTGGAGGCGCTGACCTCAGCTGCACTCGCTGGCTTTGCCAGTCTGCTGAGAGAGCAAACCCCGCGAGACCAAGGCGATGGAGGAGCTATGGGGGCACCGAAGGTGTCCAAAAACTCGCCTGGAACGACAATTGACGGGCAGGTTGACGAAAGGCCCAGGAACGTCCCCACCCAAAACACGTCTCAAACACGAGGGGCAGACCATAGTCCACGTCTCCCAAGCCTGGCAGTAGAATCACACGCACATGACACCCTGCTAGTTGTGCAGATAGCACACAAAGCGCAGAGCAGATCTACCATGACAGCGCAACTAGAGTACATGAAGCATCACTGGAAATCAAGTTGGTCTGAATCTCAGAGAAACGTGCCGGTCGCACAATTCTTGTCGGCAAGCAGGGCCAGCAATTCCAGACTGAGGCAAAAGCGCAGGTGCTTGCAGATATTCAGTCAAGCTTGGAGCTGCTGGAGGCCCCAACTGCGGAGGGGTCAGCACAGGCACGAGTTCCTCAACGAAGTGCTGATGCAAAACCTACACCCCATCAGAAACTTGGCTGGGGTCAGGTCCTGCAGGGTGTCTTGGAAGATAGTGGGGGCCAAGGTGCCACTGCGCTCGATATCCTGCGCTATACTGTGCTCCTGACTCCACCCGACTCCTCAGGTTGCAACCCCCACCTGGCCTTTGCCCTCAGCAAATCGTGCAGCCGCTTGCCTGGAGGTGCCAACACCTGGGACGGAAATCATCAGCCCAGATCGTTGAAGCCGTACGTTCCCGCCTGCCGCGCCCAGGTCTCGTACCTGGAATGGTATGCGCCACAAACGACGTCAGCAAGTTCAGACCCCCTGTTTTGTTGACGAGCAACTGTTTGACTTCGTCCGCCACCTCTTGGAGGTATGTGCTGAACGCGTCCTTCCAGTGGCTTCGTCGCAATGCGCAACCACCAGAACCAGCACCACGATTCAGAGCTGGTGTCACAGCTGATATGTTTTCCTGTGCTTCTACTTCGTGATACAGGTACATGTACAGGGCATATACCATGATGATGACAATAGCGACCATGAGGGTAGGCATTTCAGGCAGGGATGGTCAAAGAGCACACTGCTGAAAACAGCGCTTCGCAACTGCTGACAGTAAACAGCCAGTGAAGTGTTTCAGCGCCGATCGCAAGATATTGCCAGGATGCGCCCTCTGAAAGCGAAATGGGTTGGAAAGGTCGGTCCAGAGAGATCTTCGCTCCAGGAGAAGGAGACAGCGCTGACGTCAGCTGCTTGATCTCGTCATCGCTGAGGCCTCTGGCAATACAAGCATCTTACGTGCCAAGATTCTGTAGAATAGGTCCCCCACCTAGGGGCATTGTCATCAGCGCGTGCCCCATGGCATCAGGTGTCAGCGCCCCATCACCACTGGCAAAGATCGGACGCGCAACATGTCTCCGTTCTACCAAAACTGACAGCTCTAGACTCTGGACTCTAGGCTACAACATGCTACAACCACAAGCTGCGAAAAGCAAGCCGGGCGACTCTTCATCAAAGGATGCACAGGATGAGATCCAGTTCAGCTTCTGGCCTCGTGTTTAAAAAGAAATGTCACGAAACGGAGCCTGGTGCCTGGGCACCCGGACCCACCAGACGCCGCCGTATTCGAGCCATGATCACCAAGATGTTAGAGCTTGGCGCACAGGAACAGGAATGACAAGAGTAGCTTCATAGCTCACCACTCTCGGCTTCAAGCTCTGGCGAGAGAGGTGCAGGGCCAGGAGCCTTCAAGCTTTAGACCACATGTGTTTGCCTCTAGTGAGAGTATGCGAGGAGCGCACCGGCGGAGTCTCCTTGGGAGGAGGTGGTGGAGGAGGCGGCTTGGCTGCCCCTCCTGGCCTTGCAACCAAAACATCTTCAGTGGGAGATGCAACCATGGGGGTCATATTGGGGTTACAGTGGGATAGTGGAAAAGAAAATGGAACCTACTAGAGGGTTGACATGGAGGCAAGCAGCAAACAGCAAAGATCCTCAGAGCGATCCCAATATTACCCCAATATATATCCTATATAACCCTAAATAATGTAATAGTCAGTTTCCATTCTATTTTCCATTATCCCTATCTCACCCCAACCCTAACCCGTAAACCTTATAGTAGTTTCCATTTTCTTTTGCATTATCCCAATAAGGCAGACAGCCTCAGAGTGGGTAAAATGCACCAGAATATAGCCCCAATATTACCCCAATATACTAGAACATAAGACATATGGAGGCAAACAGCCTCAGAATGGTCCCAATATATCCCCTATATAACCCTATATAATGTAATAGTTTTGCGAGGCAAGGAGCCTCAGAGTGGTTTTCTTCCTATCCGGCTCGGGTGGGCTCGGCGCCACCACCGGTGCCGACTGCTTAGCGAGGTAGGCCTGCAATTGGCAAGACTGTGTGAGATCTAATAATAACAATAAAGATATTAAGGAGAAGAAGAACAAAAAGAATAATACTGAGAAAAATAAAAGAATAACAGGAATCATCACAATAGCAAGACGAAAAGATCTCTCTTTTTGGCCAGGCCTTAACGTAGGGATTGGCGAACAACTCGTTAATGGAGGGCCGAGACCTCGTCTTGAGCTATTTGACCAGGTTACGGCCACATGTATCACGTCTCGAGGATGGCGCTCTGCATTCTTCATCAGTAGCTTGTTGATGAGGTCATTCAACTCAGGCCTTCCCAAGAAGCCAGAGCAACTGTATGCAGAGCTGGCAATGCCTGAGAATGAGACGAGTAGAACGATGGAATGGGATCCTCAGTTGCTCGATTTGCAAATGGGAGCCCTAGAAGGACAGCCAGCTTAATGCAAGTAACGTAATGATCGCTGACAATTTTGTAGACCAGGCCCAACCTTTGCCAAAAATTGAGAGACAGCGGGACATGCAGGCCATGGAGCACAACAGCCTGTTGCTCCCCCGTGTGACCCTAGCAGGCTCTCCTTCCCTTTTTCTGTGCTCTTACAGCCAGGAGCAGCGCAATGATGAGGACTCGAAGGCGTGCTTCAGCATGCAACACCTCCGACAATTGGCTGCATTGCTGATACAAGACTAACTGAAAGCCGGATTTCAGCTCAGGGAGCCACTCGTACAGTACACATCCCAGGGCCTCAGCAAAGGTGGGCACAGAAGCATGGCAGCTGAGCACGTCCACTGAGCGCAGAACCCAGATGTCAGACTTCCAGTTGTACGGCTCACTTCGACAGACTTCGGGAGACATGTAGTATGGCCTGACAGGCAAAGGCATTCGCCGAAGGGATTCTGAGAGAGCAAGTTCTTTGAGGACCAAGCGTTCCGACAATGGTAACTGCAGCCTGCCATCAGGCCAGAATTGTGCAAGAATTGGAACGGGTGTCCATTTCAGGCCTCAGTGGTCCCTTCCAAAACACGTGAAATGCCGAAGTCGCCGAGCTTTATCGCCGATCCATCTGGCGACCAAGAAGCTATAACTATAGTGAAGGACTTAGTACAGCATTACACTCAACTTCAGGCCAAGTACAGCTACGTGCATGTGCCATTGCAGGTCTCAAGCTACAGTCCGTGAAAAGAAGAATGCAAGAACAACACAACCAGCATTCAACAGTGCCATCAACTGATTCTTGCTCTAAAGGAATGCATCGCTTCTCAGCCTTCTGTCAAGAAGATGTTGGACGTCTTGAGATCCCGATGCAGAACCTTCTCTGAATGGATGTACCTGAAAGCCGTGGCACAGCAACTCCAGGAGGTCTGAAGCCCATATTCCTTTGCACGCACCTCAAACGGGCAGGGGCACTGCAGCGCTAAGCAAAGCTGGACAAACCACGTCATGATTTGCCTTAGGACGAATGAGTCACGCAAATTTGTTCCTGCATGCAGTATCAACACGAATGTTGAGATTGAAACTCCTCCGAAAAGTGTCCGCCTTCCTTTGCCTTCTCCTTCAAGAGCAGAGCACAAGCTTGTTCCACGGCAGGCAGGAGAAAAGACAGCCTTGATGGCTTTGCGGACATCACCACCACCACAGTACCTTCCAAATGGCCGAGCATCCCAGGTCTCTCAACTCGATGACACACATTTCTGAGTGCGCAGCTCCATCACAATCACCAGGGTATTGGCCTCAACTGACAACTATTCAAAGCAAGAACGTCTGCATATCTGGAATACGAACTGTTTCTCGGGGTGCAACAGAAGACAAAAAAAAGTGGCACGCCAGCTTACTTATTTGGACAAGGAAACCTAACAACAGCTCTCATAGGTTGAGCCCCGTCTACAGGCCAAGCTGGCTGGCTCCAGGACATGTCAACACAATTTTTGTTCCACCAACATTGGCTCTGCTTCCTTCCGACATTAGTGCAACGGACATTGTGAGCTCTTCAACGTGAACCCCCACCCACCTTCTCATGTACCGAAAAATGCCTCTGAGCAGTGCTTGTGCTGCAACTGGAGACTTGGGGCAGCACCCCTTCAATGAGGAAGCTATCCCTGTATGCGACAATGTACGGGTGGCTGAGCGTTTGCAGCAAGAAGACCTCGTCTTGCTCTTTGCAGAGAACGCTATAGCATGCACATGTACTGGCAAGCCTCTTGATGTGCCAAATCCTGACCAGATGTTGCTTATGCGCATTCAAAAACGGAATGTGCACTGTGCTGTGTCCTGGTCATGCTCGTTTAATGCCGCCAGGGATATGCATTTGGCCACAAAAGTCTGTCCGCTGGCCTTGGGTGAGCAAGTTGCGTAGGCTTCAACGCATCAACAGCGGGCAACTTTGAAGGCTCGCACTGTCTCTTTGACAAGCTGTGCGCTTGCATACTGGCCGCGGCCTGGTAGAAAAACAAATGTAGCCGGGTAAAACGAAACACTTCGTATACTTACTCAAAAAATTGCTGCACCCAGGCCCAAGAAAAAGACCTAATTTGAACCCAAGCCCGTGGCCAATGTGCTGCAATCTTTCAAGTCCAAACCTGCGCGGCTTGTGGATTTGAAATCCAAGGGTTTCTGACCTGATGACCAAGCAACGACTGGCTAAAGCTGAGCTCGCCGCCCAGAGAGGTCTACCTCCGTGGTGGGTTTAGACATATCAACGGACGTCCTCACAAAATGCAAAGCGAACAAACCGCTGAATGGTACATTGTCGCCTTACATCTGTCAAGGATGATGAATAGTGCAGCGTCCTAACTTGTCATCCGGCGGCCGCATAGATTCAATTGGTTTTGTGTTTGTTGGCTGTTGATGCGCAATGGTGTGGAGTTTCGCATGGATGTGCTTGAATGTGACAACCGCTCGTTCGATCATGGCACCTTGAGAAAACATGGGCAACCACTGCGCATGGTGGGCACACTTTTGCGATTACGGGAAAGGAAACATCTAGCATGGTAAGCAAATCAAACCGAGTTTGCGAACAAGCTTGAGCAAATTAATATTTTGGCATGTGACCTCCAGATACGGGCAGTTGTTGCAACAAGCTTTACCTGCTACACAAACAGTACAACATGCAAAATTGGGAACTCAATTCTTTTACACCTGACCAATGCCGAGAAGTATGGCACGATCTCAATCGAAGTGCACATCAACGAATTGATATTCCTCCCAATCATTGACACATATTTTCCAGATTTGGTCAAGGTACAAGCGGGGGATTCCCCCACCCCTCCATAAGCAATTTTTGGGCCACGGGCAACAAAACCAGTGGCGTATAGTATATGTGCTCCTGACCCAAAGGCTGGGCGGGTGGGTCACAATGATTTGACTACTCGGAAGTTTGCTTGAACATGTCATGCAACAGCATCTTAAACATGCGTCGTCAAAACATGCGTGCTGAAGAGTTAATGTTCCAGTCGGGAAACATGAATGCGAAATATGTTGTCCAATGTCTGTTGTTCTTGTGTCAAAACATAACAGCAATTTTGAGGGTGGAAAATTAAAGTGAACGTTGCATTTGAAACGCCGCATAGCCCAGCACAAGAAAAAATGCGAGTGTATGTTTCGGAACGCCCTATTTTTGTCGAATGTGGGAATGGGCGGGTTTGATTGGAAAGTCTGCCTGAACCTATGTGCACACATGGAATCACTGCTATGCACATGTACCTTGCAAAGCTGTGGTGCGTTTTTTCCCGACAGCATGGCGAAAGGTTTCTCAACGGAGGTGGTTTTCGTTATGGTTTTGTTGTCATCGTTGCGTTATCGTTGATGAGTGGATGGATGTCGTGATGGCTTGAGGATGGCATGAGGTAGCGGGGTGGTTGATGTGCGAATGGGTGTCGTGATGGTTGAATGGAAAGGATGGCCCGAGGTAGCGGGTTGGTGAATATTGAGAAGGGATGGCAAAAGATGGCACGAGGTATTATTGGTGATGTGAATGTTTAGAAAGGATGGCATAAGGTAATGGGTTGGGGAAGGTCAATAGCCTGGCGTGAGGTATCGGATGGATTCGGATGGAGAGATGCTTCACTGGTCCCATGAATAGTCGTCCAGATGGTTTTCCCCTACGAAATCAATATGTTGTAATTAAGGCACGGGGTAAATATGGCCGGCGGGATCCACAGCAACTCCTCAAAATCGCTTTGGCGCCTGGAGCGTCCTCGAAATTCTCAACGCGAACGATGACCCTCTCGGTGGCCGTGACCGTGGCTTGTCGTGTCGCTGGCGCGTGAAGCGTCCGCGAAATTCTCGGCACGAACAACTGACGGCCCTCTCGACCCTCTCAGTGGCCGTGGCTTCTTGTGTCGCTGGAGCGTCCTCGAAATTCTTAACAACGACCCTCTCGCTGTTTTCAGCGGGTGGCTCAAGTGCTCAAAATTGTGCTCTCGCGTGGAGCGTCCTCGAAATTCTCGGCGGGAATGTCGACCCTCTCGCTGCTTTCGGCAGGTGGACGACCTTTTCGCAGTATTTTAGGCGCGTGGCAGCACTGGCGCGTGGAGCGTCCTCGAAATTCTGGGAGCGAATGCTTCCGGTCCGTCATGACGCTGGCACGTGGAGCGTCCTCGAAAATCTCGGCGCGAATGACGACCTTTTCATTGTTTTCCGTGCGTGGCAGCACTGCCACGTGGAGCATCCTCGAAATTCGGGGCGCGAACGACGACCCTCTGGATGTTTTTGGGTGTCCTGACGCCGGCACGCGGAGCGCTTTCAGAAGCCTGTTCGGAATCGACGACGCTGTCAGCGTTTTCAGCGCTAATTGGGCTTTACCAAAGGAGGTTCCGGATCTGATAAAGATCTGCCCTGGAAGTGGAGCGCTGCCTGCTGGCCATTCCCGCAAGCGCGACGAAGCGCTCCACATCTGCCTGAACAAGCTCCATCAGCAGCTTCGGGTCTGCCCGCCCGGATCCCCAAGGCGCATCACGCAAAAGCATGCAACTCTAGATCCGGCCGCTCCGCGACTTCCACTTCCGGCCATATTGTGTTCACACCACGCTATAGAGACGAGGGAGCTCTGCACCTACATCCAGCGTGACTGAGCGTAAATAGACCATCCCACAGCTCAAGCGCAAGTGACTGACCAGGCACAATACGCTCACAATGCTCAATCCCCTGCTCTCTCAAGAAAGAAGCAACGTCCAAACGAAGTTGCTGTGTCTCCCCATCACTCAACAAAGGATCACGCGCCCCTGACGCTATCGTGCTGACAAGCATTTGCTCCAGGCTCCACTTGTCAATATGCTGCAGCCACCGGCTTAGCCAATCTGCTGCTCGAGGACAAAATCAGTCTGCATCGGAGCTCCTCACGACTTGAGGAGGTGCTTCAGCTTTGTTTCGGGCTCGCTTGATGACGCCCAGTCACACGTTTGCGGATCGCGATAGTCAACGTCAAGCGAAGTGACTTCCCAACCCAGCTCCTCGAAGGCTCTGCCCATCGAACCCGTGCCTGAGAATAACTCCAGCAGGCGTTGCGGCATGGGTAGCAGCAAGATCTTCTTTTTCCATGACGGGGTCAAGAGCCAGCCACACCAGAGCAACAAATCCTGCGCAATAGCAGGCGAAACCGAGGTTGCAGAGCAACGCTTGTCTCCAGTTCAGTTGGTCGGACATCTTTTTTGTAGACCGTATAAGAAAAGAGACCGACCGCCGAAAGCTTGGAAACTCCTTTCAAAATGGATCTCCGACTTGGCGACGTTCTCACCCCTGCCGGCCAAATCTCTGCGCTGGAACACGACGCA